CTTTTTTTGACAGCACTAGAGACAGAACCCTTGGCCTTGCACATCCCATGCTAAGCAAGTTCCCTACTATTAAGCTACACCCCCAGCCCCTTTGTTACTGACAGAGATAACAAAAAACTAAATATAATAGTAACTAACAAATATTTTGAGGGATGCGAGCGAGCTAAATCTTTGGGGCTGGGAGTGGTGGTGCATGCCTGTAGCATCAGCATTTGGGAGGCTGAGGCAAGATCACTGTGAGTTCACAGCCAGTCTCAGGTACATTGTAAGTTCAAAGCCAGCCTGAACTACATAGCAAGACCCTATTAAAACAAAACAGAACACCTCAACTTTGTCACTATAGGAAATCAATGTGTGTATGCACGCATGCTGTACGTGGTATGCTTGTATAGTCATAGAATGTTTATTTCCAAGACATACAAGAAACCAGAAGGGCAGGACAGATAGCTCAGCAGACTAAAGCACTTGTTTAGGCAGAGTGCAGCAGCTGGGGTTCGATCACTGGCGTGCAGTGCTGGCACTGCCCCAGGGGTGCGCTGAGATGGGGATTGAGACTGGGTGTGGTGGCATGCACCTGTAATCCCAGTGCTTGGGAGGCTGAAAACACCAGAATCACTACAAGTCCAATCTACGTAGTGAGACCCTGTACTAAATACATAAAATTTAAAAAAAAAAAAAAAAAGCAAGCAAGCAAGCAAGCAGAAACATTACCTCTCAGAAGAGAAACTAGGTAGCTGGGTGTCAGCAGCCAAAGGGAGGCTTTTACTCTAGTCTCATACTATTGGAATTTTAACTCTATGAATTTATTTTTTATTTTTTGTATATTTAGGAAGAGTCTACAGGGTGTTCAGGGTCTCACTACTAGATCAGACTCATAGTGATTCGCCTGTTTATAGCCTCCCAAGAGCTGGGATTACAGGCGCATCACCATGCCCAGTCTCAATTGCCCTCTCAGTGTGCCATGGGGGTGGGGCTGGCAAGGGATGAACCCTGGCCCCCATGCCTGCTTGCAGGCGATTTAATCCACTGAGCTATTTGGCCAGCCTTTCTGTGAACTTATTATTCAGCTATAAAAGCAATAAATTTAAAAGTAAAACCAAAGGTATGAGTATACAAGAACTATGGTGATAACTCAAAAATCAATCAAAGGGGCTGGAGAGATGGCTCAGTGGTCTAAAGCACCTATTTGGAACAAGCTTGGAAAAGCCCAGGGACCGCGGTTCGATCCCCCAGCACCACATGCCAGCTAGCCGCGCCCCCTGGTGGGCTGAGCTGGCCACACACACACACACACACACACACACACACACAC